TAAAAGTTTTCAATGAAATTTAGGAAGAGTAGATTTACAAAGGTAAGGTCACAAGTAGATTTTTAAATAGACTATAGCAGCATCCAAGGATGAGAAGAGTAGATTTACAAAGGTAAGGTCACAAGTAGATGGTTAAATAGACATATGTAACAGTAGCATCCACACTCTCACGACTACCAGAATGAATGAAAAACAAAATAATGAATCAAATGATGAAAGAAAAGGATCATCTCGCGGGAGCAGTGGAAGTGCCAGATTCCATGTTTTCCAGAGTAGTTGAGTTGACCTGCAGAGACATTGTCCTCAACGAATCTCCGTTTTGGGATTGTCCTCGTTCTTGTGCTGCCGTGAAATACGCATAGGGACCCCATCCTTCATCGTGGTAAGGGTTGGGGTAGAACTGACGGTAGCAGAAGGCGGAGACACAGAGGCCGATGAGAGCTCCAGCAAAGACGTCTTGCCAGTGGTGCCAGTAGTCATCCACTCGCGATATCCCCACCAGGCAGGCCGTGAGCAGAGGGAAGATGACGAGGCAGAGCTTAGCGATGTGTCCTTCATTGTTGAAGGCCTTGATTTTGCCAGACAAGTAGAGGGAGAGGAATCCTAGCCCTGCAAAGGACCAGGACGTGTGTCCGCTCGGGAAGCTCTTGTGGCCTTCCTTGATCTCTGCTGCTTTCCCGTGGCATATCACACCTCCCAAGGCATCGTAGAGCTCCTTGCCGTCGGGGAAGCAACGCCAGTAGAAGTTGGGACGAGGGCGTCCAGTGGCGACCTTGATGGAGTCGGTGATGACACCAGTTATCAAGACGGCGAAGGCCAGGCCGAGAATGCTGTGGTGGAGATCGTAAACGCATTTCCTCTTGAGGTAGAAGCAGACGAAGACAAGGATGGGAAGCAGAACGGCGTACAAAGGAACGGACCAGACAGGGATGGTGTTGTCATTGAAAGGGTACTTGAGATCAGTCATCATGTCTTTGCCAACGTATCTGTAGAAAGGAGAGATGAGGTTCAAGCCGATCTCGATGGCGCCCAAGATGACAAGAATGATCCAGTCGTGTTTGTGTTTAGAAGCGACTCTGCCTCCATGGCTTCTTATGGTGTGAACCCCGAGATCAATCTCCTGCATCCTCCCTCGCTGCTGCGCCTCTTGCTCCTGCCAACACA